TGCCCAGCATGGACCCCAGTGTGGGGCCCGAGACCATCCCCTGTGCAGGCTCCACCACCGCTGTGCCAGCTGGACCTCGGCAGAACAGTGGGCGTGTGCCAGGTTCCTGCAGCTCCCACTCCCAGCCCATGTGCTGTGCCCCTGGCCTTCGCCACTCAGGTCAAGGGGAGGCACTGGGGCGCACTCAAGTCCTAAACCCAACCCGTGGCTCATGTCGGACCGGGAACCCTCTCTGACCTGTAAACATTGTCATGAAAATGATTGAAAGTAAGGATTGGCTGGACTCACGGGACAGTGAGGGGCAGGTGACATGAGGCCCCTGAGAGTCTGTCCTGAGTGGCAGCCAGATTAGTGTTGCTGAAAATGTGCCCTTCCATAGCTCAACCCATCGCCTTCAAGCTCCCCTGAACAGCGTGACCTCCCGTCCATACAGCAGCCTCTTTACGGGTGAGCTGCAGGATGAGCTCCGGTGCCCCGAGGACACTCACATCAAGAAGCAGGAAAGCGCTTCCATGTCCGGACTCTGGGGAAGGTGCCTCTGGGCCAGGGGCTTGTAGCGCTGCCAGAGTTGGAAGTTCTCATACACGCTCTTGGGGTTGCAGGAGTCGTCCGGCGGGGCCTTGGCCTGGGAGGGAGCCAGGCTGCCCTCTCCATGAGCCCCTTGTGGCCATGGCCCAGCATTCCCTGGAGCCATCATGGGGGCCAGCTGGGGAGCCAGTGGTGCTGGAGGAGGAAGGCCCTGGGACCAGCCTCCCTCGCAGGCCTGGGTGCCCCCAAAGACCTGGGCAGCCATAGCGGGCACCACAGGGGCAGCTGCCACGGGTCGGGGAGGTGGACATGCGACGCCCTGGCAGAGGGTGCCTGGAGCCTGCCAGACGAGGGGGGCCTGAGTTAGGACCAAGGTCTGTGCCTGAGGAGCCTTCACAGGCCCCACTTCTGTCCTCATCTGGACAAGGACGTTGGAAGCCCCAACCCAATTTGGGCCTCGTCCATCCTGTCCTGCCACCAGAGGGGTCCTGGGGAAGGCAGACAGCACCGGAGGGCCGCCTGGAGGAACCACTGCAGTCACGAGGGGCGGCCCGTGTGCTGGGCCGGGAGCAGGTGTAGGAAAGGGCAGAGCCGTGAACACTGGCATGCAGGCGCCAGGGTTCTCGGTCACGCCTGGTCCCAGCACTGGGCATGCTGTGGAGACAAAGGAAAGAGGTGAATGAGCTGGGGTCTGCAGGTCTGCAGTAGTCACTGGGAATCAGAGGGGTGTCCCAATCAGAGACGTGTGACAGGGAAACTGCAGCTTGCAAGTGTCCCTGTGTGTGCATCGGATGCTCTGTTCCTCCACGGCAGGGTCGCCTCACTAGAGAGCCTGGCCCTGGCTCCTCTAGACTCCCTGACCCCTGTCTGCCAAGAAGCAACAGCCAAGCCTTCGCTGCCTCTGAGGGTCTCCCTCGGGCGTCCCGGGAAGACCTGCCAGCCTTACAGGCATCTCCCAAGACATGGGTCAGGGATGAATCTCTCGCTGGCTTGGAGGCCCTCAGCATGCTCAGCAGTAGGTGAGGGGCCTCCCCCAGGGCAGTGCTCTGCACTCAGAAGGCCTCCAGGAAGCCAGAAGGTTCCTAATATTATGGCCCCATCTCCTCTTCAGTCTTCCTTTTCCTGAAGCTCTTGTAAAGCCCCTTCTTTCCTAACTCAACACAACAAAAGAAAGCCACTGGATAGACGAGGTGTGGTGGTTCACGCCTGTAATCCCAGCACTTTGGGAGGCCTAGGCGGGCAGATAACCTGAGGTCAGGAGTTCAAGACCAGCTTGGTCAATGTGGTGAAACCATGTCTCTACTAAAATACAAAACTCAGCTGAGTGTGGTGGCGCACGCCTGTAATCCCAGCTACTCAGGAGGCTGAGGCAGGAGTATTGCTTGAACCAGAAGGCAGAGACAGCAGTGAGCCAAGATTGCACCACTGCATTCTAGCCTGGGTGACAGAGGAAGAATCTGTCTCAAAAAAGAAACAATGAAAGAAAACCACTGGATGGAAATCTCTCCCAGGCCAGCACCCTGTGAACCCTGAAGATAACCCAGACACGTCACGCCCAGCCTGCAAGTGATTGTCCTGGCACCATGCACAACAAGTGCTACACAGGGGTCAGATTCGGGCCACCCTTTCCTCAGTGGTCGATGGTCCTGGCTGCCACCCAGGAAGCTCTGTTCCCAGGGAGCAGGTCTGAGAAGCAGTGGTGGAGTTCCCTGAGATACTGTCATTGCGCAGCCAGCAACAGCGGCACAGGATTAGAGCACAGCCAGCCAGCGGTGAGCAGTGGGGCTGTCAGGGGAGGTGTCCGGGGATTTTCACAGCTGCTGGTCATGTTACAGTAGTTCCTGGGACAACGAGCCCATGTCCGGTCCTCTGCCTTTGAGCTCCCAGTAACTGAATATAGTGACCAACCAAGAACCAGAGTCCTTGGGCCACAGGTCAGGTGGGACATAGTTATCTGGATTCATCCCTGTTCACTAGGACCTCATGCAGTCTCCAGTCAAGGGGGATAGGGATACAGCACCTGCACCTCATCAGTCAGGACACACATCCTAACTTGAATAATAATAATAAGAGGACCGTCTTCCTATTTGTGCGCTACTCTCCTTCCTCTACTGGAAAGGAAACCATCTTTCCAGACCCTTCCACTGAGAACCAGCAAGAGTCGACACCTGTCCCCTGTTCATGAGGTAGTGGACATGGAATAGAAACAAATCCTTCATCTCCACAGCAACACAAAGTGCAGAGGACAGGCCATGAGCTAGTAGACAAGAGGAAGTGGGTCTGAAGACCTGAGCTCCCACAAAACGACGAACAATTCAGAACAACCTGGGAAGCCCAGGCCATGTTGCCTGAACTTCCCCAACTAACCCCACCCCTGTTAAATCAGAGCCAACAGCCACCTGACAGAACTGACAGAGAAGCCACCTCTGGGGAGGGAGCTGAGAGGCTGCGGCAGTTACAGTACCCTCAGCCTCGCCCACCCAGAGGCTGTCACTGGATGCTCTGTCACAGACAACCCACCCAACAGTTTTCTGGCTGAGACCACTTCTCCCCACTCCTACCTAAGATCCAGAAAACTCCAGTCCAAATCCCTCTGAACACTATGGAAGGACACCTTCCAGGAGCCTGAAGACACAACACAGGGCTCAGGCTTCCCTGTCATCCTCCCTGGGCCACCAGCACAACAGGATCCCACCACTCCCACAAACACACAGTGACGTGACATGTCCCCCTCTAGAAAGAATCAATACATCCACCCCATCCTTTCCCCTACATGGTGTATTCCCCCAGGCATCTTGGTCCACCTCTAAGGAGCTGTCCTCCCTAACCACAGACTCAGGTTGCCATGGCCCTCCCCAGGTGTGATGTCTTTGGGGACATCCAGTGCTCCCTCCCTCCTCGACATCAGCCCTACCAACTGTCTCCTGGGGCAGTGTCAAATTTGAATTCCCAAGGATTTGAAACATGGCAGAGAACTGGATAATGCCCCTGTCCCTACAGACTCACCTCCATTTGAAGCCATCCCCTCAGGCTGGGTGCTGATCACCGCTGACAGTTTCCACAACGAGAAAAGTCAAGGGCAGGACCCAGAGAGTGACCTGCCTCAACAGATTCTCCTGAGTTCAGGTAGGTCAGGGAAAATTTGAAAATAAATAGGTTTAGAACATAGGACCCCAGACATTCTGCAGAGGGGGAGGGGCAGTGTAGCAGGTACTGGTAGGGGTGGGGGACATTCTGTGAAGGGCTCCAGCCAATAGGCAAGAACTGAGGTTCCCTTCCAGCTGGACGGCAGCAGCACAGACTGCGTGCGCCTCTTCAGGCAACTTTTAAATTGTCCTTCAGACTCACAGCACAAAGCTTCAAACTGATGTCCCCTTTACTTCCATTCTTTGTCGACAGACCTACTTTTGTGCCCCTCAACCCATGCTCCTTCCCACTTGGGCTTTTTCCCGCTCTTGATGAATCTCAACAGGGGCTGCACTTCCTAAACACAATTTAGGACGCTTCCTAAGAACCCCTGTGTTTGTCAGATGATCCATGTCTGGATCCTCTGTCTGGTTCAGATGATCCAGGCCATTAGGTGGCTGTGTGCTCATCACTGTTATGGAAGCCGTCCTTGAGCCCCCAGGTCGTGTATGTTGCTGGAATCTGTCCACACCAGCAGGCCAGCCTTACTTCCCATCTCCTGTGCTGGAAAGCCTCAGTCCAGGAAAGAGCGGCTTTGCGGCCAGAAAGCCTTTCATTTTGTTTCCCAGCGTATTGTGCTGGTATTAAATGTTTATTTTTTAATCTTTCAAATGATTTTAATTTAACCAAGCAATACTTTTGCATGGTTCCAAATTCAAATTGTGCACAGTGGAATAGGCAGTGACCAGTCTTCCTCCCACCTCTTTCCCTGTCCACAACATTTTCTTTCCTGGAGCAAACGGGTGTTTACTCCAGGAAAAGATGAGAATGATATTTTGAGAGATGAGAATCTTGGCCAGTGATTTTAGAAGAAAATGCAAACAAAAGAAAAATGAGGTTTTCAACTGAAGGTACATCTCTTCTTCAATATGAAGACATTAACTGAATTGGTTGGATCCCCATGCAGTGGTCAGCGAAGTTCTTTGGCAACTGACAGAACAATATCTGGAGACTCAGGAGCTGGGTTTTGTTTGAAGAAACTTCCCTACAGGAGTCATGAGCAGAGGGAAACGAGTGTGGGAGAAAGGAGGGGACTCTCAGGGGGGAGCACAAAAGGAGAAAAGAAAAGCATGTCATTGGTGAGGAAGAAAACGGAACACTGCTTCTGTTTCTTCCCTCCACCTCCTTCCCTTTCTTCCTGTGGATGGACAACTCCAGCCC